GTACGTTCGAGGACTTTTTAGGCATTGTGTGCGATACACTACGCCCCCGACTGCTCATTGGGATTTAATCAGTCCTTGATTCTTATGACCCTTTTCTGCGCATTATAGCCTTTGGTCGGTGTGCAATTCCGACGCCTAGTCCCGCAGCAATGCGCTCGGTCGCTTCCTTGATGTATGGCAGCGTAGTGTATCGTATACAATGCCTAAACTGTCCTCTAAATAACATGCAACCAACTGGACGCGCATGCTTGGTTCACGCATACACGAAGCACTCACACCTAGGCATAACTCACGACAGCTCTTCCGACCATGAAGTAGCGCATGAACATGCTACAATCCTCCACCACGCCCACTAACCACTCCCTATTACACGCGATGCGCATTCTACAGCGGCCGAAATGTGCCATACAAATCACCCGACCGAACAACACGGGGGGAGGAAGGAAATTAAGCTAAGAAATGAAATAGAAGAGAGAGAGGCAATGATTTACAAAGTAGGTTTTCTGGGCGTCGGTTTTCAGATAATCTGCCTGCCTGTCCTCGATGTAGATGAGGTAGTCCTTGTAGGAGAGCGGAGGGCCCACCAAAATGGTTTGAAAGTTGACACAGTAGGAGAGGAATTCAAGCGGACGCGGAATGTGACTGAAGGAGCGGGAGAGAGAGAAAAAAAATAGTCCTGAGACTGGAGGCGCGAAATGTTGGAGGGAAGAAGGGGGCAAGACAATGAAGCATTTAACATAAATCTGGTGTTCGATGCCAGGCAGACGAGGCCACTGTTATAACGACGTATTCAGCATCGTTAGTGTTATAACGATGAAATCTGACGTGTGTCACCGTTGAATTACGCCCTGTTGAAATCCTCAAGGAAGAACACAATAAGAAAGGCGTAATTCTGGAATCCACGCGGAGGCGGGTTTGTTTTGTACAAAACCTGGAGGAGCTGTCTCGGGTAGCTGTTGTCGCTGCTGGGTTGATCTCCAGCGTCCTCGCTGTCCGGTGTGGCTACAATTCTTTATGTCCCGCCTCGGGGCGAGCCCGGCATTGGGAGCGGACTGGCGTCGCCACGCGTCCGCTGTTGCAACCCTGTTTGTCAGGGGGTGACAGTGGCTTATAAGATATTGTCTGCGCGTTCTCTTGTGTCCTGGTTGGCCGCACTGGGATAACATCAGGCGATCAGTTGACCCTCGAGCCTTGTGTAGGCTCGTGTGCGTTCCTGCGTGCGTGCGGTGTAAAGTCATCTCCCGTGGAAAGTCATCGCCTGTTATGCGGTCCGAGGTAACCAACAAAGACATTTTGGCTAAGCTCGACGCCTTAGGAAAGCCTCCAAACGTTGCTAGCATTTGGTTCGGCTAACATCCTAACAGTCACCACCTGCTGGAAATATATACGTGAGTGCGTGTACCCAGCAGGGGCCAATAGGGGGGGGGAGAGCTGTTAGCCACAAAAAAAGAGCTACATGATAGGAGTTGGTCGGGTTGCCTCTTGTCCCAACGAAAGCTTAACCACTCGTCGTATGTGACAAATGCGTTCACGCCCTTCCGCATCCGCCACAGTGTGCCTATTGTTATCTGCAGTTAGTCCACGGGCTGATAGTAACCCGTCAGTGTGGGAGGCGGCAAAGAGAACGACATCCTCCTCCCCGTAGTTGACAAGCGGAGGAACGCCACCTCTCGGAAACATGAACCTGCCCCGCATATACGCCTGCAACGCTTCGGATAATGTTATGCATGACAGACATCACACTCCCCAC